TAAAAACATCCTGCAAAGAGGCCCCGGAAAGGAGGGCTCGAGAGGCCGCCATGCCTCTGGTAGAATGAGCCCTCACAGCCACAGGTGAAGGCAAACCGCGCACCTGATAGGCCAGGGAAATAGTCTGAACAATCCAGTTGCTAATCGTATGTTTGGATGCAGGGAGCCCAGCCCTGGGGGACCCAAAACACCTAGCAGCTGGTCAGCCTTCCTCCAACGGGAGGACCTCAGAGTGTAAATACTCAGTGCTCTGACAGGGCAGAGCAGATGAAGTCTCCCGTCCTCCGCCGTCACATGAGGTGGAGGATGAAATGCCTGCAGCACCGTGGACCCTGCCGCACAAGAAGGCACTTTAGGGATGTATCCTGGACGAGGGTGCAGGATAGCCCTAATATTCCCCGGGGCAAACTCCAGGCTTTGCGGGGAAACCGAAAGCGCTTGGAGATCCCCCACCCTCCTCAGAGGGAACCTTGGACCGAGTCGCAGGTCTCATCCTCCGGGCACCACGGAGGAAACGTACAACCAAGGGAAGTTTCCCCAAGGACCCCTCCCTCAAAGGGGTGTGGAAAGACACATACACCTTGAGGGTGGAAGGGGAAAGACCAGCAGAGAACCGGTCCTGGAGGAACTCAAGTACCTGAACCACCGGGAAGGTAACAGGGTCCACCGACCGCTCCCTACACCAAGTGGAGAAAACACTCCACTTCAGGCCGTACATCCTCCGTGTGGACGGGGCCCTGGAGCCCAGGAGGGTCTCGACTGCTCCGGCTGTTAGACCCGCCTCTAGGTACTGTGCCCCCTCAGGGGCCAGACCCACAGTCGCCATATGGCGGGGCAAGGGTGAAGAACCCGGCCCTGTGCCTGGGACAGCAGGTCTCTCCTCAGAGGGACCCGCCATGGTGGGCCGTCCAGGAGCGACATGATGTCCGAGAACCACACCCGGGTTGGCCAGAACGGGGCTACGAGCAGTAGGCCGACATTGTCCTGGCGGACCCGCTCCAGAACCCCCGGGAGCAGAGCGACTGGGGGAAAAGCGTACAGACGTAGCCTCGGCCACGAATGTACCATGGGTCCAGACCCAACGGGGCTGGAGGAACGAGAGAAAACCATAGTGGGCAGTGCGTAGTCTCTTGAGACGCAAACAGATCCACGTCTATGGGGCCGAACTCTTCGCACAAGAGCTCCACCACTTCGGGGTGAAGTCTCCATTCCCCGGGCCTCAGCCCCTGCCTCGACAGCAGGTCTCCCTGATTCTGCGTCCCCGGGAAATACATCGCCCTGAGCGATAGTAACCTCTGCTGTGACCACAGGAGGATCTGACGCGCCAGTCTGTCCAGAGGGCGCGAGCGCAGACCGCCCTGGTGATTCAGATAGGCCACCACCAGTTGTCGGAACGAACCAGGACGTGGTGGCCTTGGAGATCGGGCAGGAAACTCCTTAGAGCCTGGAACACCGCCAACATCTCGAGACAGTTGATATGCCACTCGGATTGATGCACCTGCCAAGATCCCCTTGCAAAGCGGCCGTCCATGACCGCGCCCCAGCCCGTGAGGGAGGCGTCTGTCGAAATAACCAGCCGACGACAAGACCCTCCCAGCACGGGTCCCTGGGACAGGAACCAAGTTTTCCTTCCAAACTGATAGGGAACGAAGACACTTGCGCGTAACCCAAATCAGACGGAGAGGATTTCCCCTCGGGGAAAAACCCTTGTTCCTTAGCCACCACTGCAGGGGTCTCATGTGCAGCAGTCCAGATGGTATTACGCTGGACGCAGCCGCCAGGAGACCCAACACTCGTTGAAAGTGTTTCATAGTGATGGCGTGGCCTAACTTCACCCCTCTCACAGCAGCCAATATGGTGTCGACACGTGCCGGAGACAATTGTGCCCGCATCGTTGTCGAATCCCATACAACCCCTAGGAACGTAGTCTGTTGGGTGGGCGCCAGCACGCTCTTCTTTGCGTTGTGCCTCAGCCCTAAACGCTGCAGATGAGCCAGAACGACATCTCGATGCCGAACCGCCAACTCTCGAGACTGGGCCAGGATGAGCCAGTCGTCGATGTAGTTGAGAATCCGGATGCCCTGGAGCCTCAGCGGGGCCAGTGCTGCATCCATACACTTGGTGAATGTGCGAGGGGAAAGTGCCAGGCCGAATGGAAGAACCCGATACTGGTAAGCCACACCCCCGAAGGCGAACCTCAGGAACTTCCTGTGAGAAGGACGGATGGAGACGTGGAAATAAGCGTCCAGTAGATCTATCATGACGAACCAATCCTCGGATTGGATGTGCGACACGATGGCGGGGATGGTGAGCATCTTGAACCTGAATCTCCTCAGAGACCGGTTTAGAACCCGCAGATCCAAAATTGGGCGCAGCCCTCCGTCCTTCTTGGGGACTACGAAGTACCGACTGTAGAAGCCGGCGTCTCTATCTGGGGGGGAGACATGTTCCACGGCCCCTTTCCTCAGCAGAGTACGAACTTCCTGTCCCAACACCGGACCTTGCTCCGGGCGGACCACAGTCCAAACCACCCCGTTGAATTTTGGAGGGCGGGTTTTGAACTGTAGTCGATACCCATGTATGGCAGTGCGCAGGACCCACGGAGAAATGTTCGTCAGGCTCCGCCAAGCCTCTGCAAAGTCTGCCAACGGAACCAGCCCCTCGGGGCTGGTGGTCGGTGTCTCGTGTGATCTTCTGGTGGATCCCTGAAGCCCCAGAACGGCAGGGGGAGAGCCGCCGAAGATCCACGGTGAGTGAGTCGGGACGCCGTCCGACTGCAGACCCTCGGGACAGGCAGTACGGCGTGGACTCGATGGTGGCAAGTGCGTCCTGAACGTGTAAACGGCGGGATAACATCACCTGTTGCCACGGCAGAGGGGACCTCGGTCAGCCTCCGGGGGGGGAAGAACTCCCCTACCCTGGTCTTCAGGACCTCTTCCCTGAGCTCCGTCGGGACTGGATGACGGTCCTCAGATCGCATCTCTCAGAAGGCTAACCCCCATCACATTGCTGTAGTTCAGTGATCGGGGCGTGGAAAGCCATGTAGAGAAGGGTCTGCCCCATGATTTACTCAGTTCATCATGTAAATCAGGAAAAAATGGCAGAGATCGGCGTGGAGGTGGTGCGTGGTGCTTAAGAAACCTTTCATCAAGCTTACCACTAGCCTGTGGTGTCTGCTCCTCCTGTGGCCAGTCGATGTTGAGCTTAGCCACGGCTCTAGTCACCACCTCCAGCAGCTCGTCATAGTCGGGCGCAGCCTGATGACGTTGGCCTGACATCCGGAAGTCATCGTCCATTACGGCCGAGCACATCCACCTCCTCGGAGTCGGATTGCTGCAGCGTCTCCGGATCCAAACCGCGAGCGGGAGAAGCCGAGAAACGGGCTCCCGAACGAGGGAAGGAAGCGTCGGAGCCAGCCGACGAATGTCGGGAAAAAGCCTCAGCCGTCCCGAAATCCTCCAACAGATCACGCTGTGAACCCCATGAATGAAGCCGCCGGGCCGCCTCAGCGGCCGCCGGGCCCGCACCACGGGGAGAACACATCCGGCCATCCTCGGAAAAGAGAGCCATGCAGGACCTCAGTACCCGCACGGAAAGGGTTTCGCAATGGCCGCAGGCAGCCCCCTCGAGAGCTGCCCGGTGTGCTCCATCCCCAAACATGAGACACACATCTCATGAGAATCTCCATCCGTGATGTACCGAGGGCAAGAAAAAAACACACCTTCTGTACCTCTGATTGCCGGACATGCTGGTAGACTTCTTCCTCAGGTAAGACATACTGCTTGTAGGACTGGAGCTTTCTTCAAACAACATACAGAGCGCCTGCTGAATAGAAAAAAGCTAATGATGAGTGTGTACAGGTGTGCTTTATACTCCTCCGGTTATTCCGTCACACCTTACCGTTCTAGCAACAAGCCAATAGGATTGAGTGATTTCATTCACGTTCAGACCTGCTTCGCCTAGAGGCGTTCCCATAGTGTCGTAACCGACGCAGTTCGAGTTCCCTCGAAGGGGAACTAACAGGCACAGCACAGAATTGGTGGAGATAAGGCCTGATAATCAGTGAGACTAGGCCTCACTGATTTCTAAAAAAAAAAAAACTTTATTCCCTGGTTTTGGTGAAACTGGGTTGGATTTTATGCAGAAAATGTTTTTTTATGTTTTTCCCTCTGTCCTTGAGCTGCTCTGCCTCAACTTTTGGGGATTCGTGGTATGTTAGTTACCATTTACTTCACCCATTAACTACTGCTAACAATAGCTGCGACTAGCTAATAAGCTCACCAATGACACTATCATAAAATACAGTCTGCATTATCATCTCTAATTCTTAATTCTTATGTAAGTTTTAAGTTTCATCTTATTTTTTTTTTTAGCAAATATCTCCTTTCCTCTTGCTCACATTGAAAGTGAATGCAATGTAATCTGGGTTGAATAAAGCAGTTGTCATACATTGTTGGGGAATTGGGAATTGTTGGATCTCGTCCCTGCTCAATATAAAACATGCAATGAGAGGACTTTTTCATGGATTGGTGCTACATAAATAAAAGTGAAACTGAATGCATTTGAAATAACACCTGGATTTTAACATTTACCTGGGCAGTTAAAACTTCTGAATTCCAGAGTGAAAACAACAGACTTAAAATGAAATAATGAACTCTATATTTATGTTAATATGTATCTCTATAAAAACGAATCCTCTATTTCATGAGGACTGAAGAGTCCACACTGTATTTTATGTAAGCACCAGTATTGACTAACAATTAGATAAAATATGGATATAATGGGTGGTGCCATCTACTGCAGTGAAGGGCTGAAGGAATTCCTTTGCTGGGCAGATCCATTCTTCATGTCAACAATGGAAGCAAATTCAAATGGCATGTTTGCACACACAGAAAAAGAATGAGAAGTGTGTTTTTTCATAGTTTGGGGGTCTTTAGACACACATTTGTATCATATGGCACATTTAATGCTTAAGGTTTCATGCTGTGTTCTCTATTTAGATTAAGATCCTGCAGTTTATCAGAGATGACCTGTGCTTCTCTGGCCTCAGCTCTGAAGTCTGACCCCTCCCATCTGAGAGAGCTGGACCTGACCGACAACGAGCTGCAGGATTCAGGAGTGAAGCTGCTGTCTGCTGGACTGGAGAGTCCCCACTGTAGACTGGAGACTCTGAGGTTTTGCATCTTAACATGTCAAAGGGGTTACCCTTTCTTCTTAAACATGTGGTTGCTATAAAGCTGTAGGTAGCTGTTTTCTCTGTTGGAGTATTTTTTTTTTTGTCCTTTTCAGCATTTGTGGGGATAATAATAATGTTAAGCCAGCATAAACAAATCACAGTTTTAGCAGTTAGAAGTAAGAAAGCCAATAAGCAAATTTCTCAAAATGAGGATTCCTTTGACTAACTGCAGCAATTAATTACAAACAAAAACATATGTACTGTTAGAGATCAGCTGTGCTTCTCTAAACTGAGTGTTTATTCCATATTACAGACTTAGTTGCTGTGAACTGACACAGATTAGCTGTGCTTCTCTGGCCTCCGCTCTGAAGTCCAACCCCTCCCATCTGAGAGAGCTGGACCTGAGTAAAAACAAACTGCAGGATTCAGGAGTGAAGCTGCTGTGTGATTTTCTGGAGAGTCCACACTGCAGACTGGAGACTCTGAGGTCAGACATCATATTTTCCTTCTGTGCTAAGGTTAATATGACGTGAACGTTGTGGCGACACTAAACTGCAGACAAAAAGCTGATTTTATACGGATCCACACACTGTGTAGCGGGTTGCTCATTAATCAGAAGGTCAGCGGTTCAATCCCCGGCTCCTCCAGGCTGCATGTCGAAGTGTCCTTGGGCAAGATACTGAACCCCAAATTGCCCCTGGCTATGAATGTGTGTGAATGTTAGTTTCTGTTTGAGCACTTAGGTTCAGTGTGTGAATGGTGAATACAATGTAGTGTAAAAGCGCTTTGAGTGGTCGAAAAGACTAGAGAGGCGCTATACAAATACGGAACATTTAAATTTACACTGAGTATCTTAATCAACTGCATAGGAGAAGTGCAGAAGTGCAAACCCTGTTCACATGCAATTTTAATGGTCTATTTTTCTGCATATTTGGTCATATGTTAGCTCCAAGTTCCTGTCCAGAGTTGTGGCGCACCAGTCCATATTGCAAACATAGCTAGTGGTGATGGCGCATAGATAAGATGCTTGCCTTTGGTCTGGGAGACCTGGATTCGATTCCCACTGTGAGACATCCACCATTGTGTCCCTGAGCAAGACACTTAACCCCTCGTTGCTCCAGAGGCGTGCGACCTCTGACATGTATAGCAATTGTAAGTCGCTTTGGTCAGCTAAATGAATAAATGTAATGTAAACCAAAGTCTGTCACTTGCAAAGCAACAAATCAACATGAGTCCAGCTGTTACTGGCAGTGACCTCTGAATTAATTCTACATCCGACCTGTTACAGAAAGATCTGGTCTGTATATCAAACAGTGCAGTAGCCAAAGCTTAGGGCACTGTAGGAATGAACAACAAATTATAAAAATAAATGTTTTAGAACTCTTCTGACTAGGGCTGCAACTATATATTATTTTTGTAATCGACTACTCTTGTCTATTGTTTTGTTCGATTTGTTGATGGTCAACGATTATTTTTGTAACCCCCTAACACTAATTAAACCATCTACCTAATTAAAATATTTCAAGTGAAATACTGATATACTCCACAGACTAACTAGCTACTATTAGGTGGGCAAAGTTTACTTTTTAGAATGAACACTAGTATTAACGCGAGGGGAAAAAAATAAGGAAGAAGATGAGACAGGGTAGCCTACTCTTATAATATATATTATATATATATATATCAATGATTTACTATTTAACGCTCTGTATAACTGTGGGACCATTTGGCTCTGTAAGCGTCACTTTCTGGCTGGCTCACTAACTATCTCTGCTGGCGAACTTCTCAATCCTGAAAACATTTGAGCACATTTTCAATTGACCATCAACTTTCGTAAAACCATGCCAGTACTCATAATCTACACAGATGATTTCTCGTCTCAAAACTAGGAATATTCTCAACGGGATTGCTATCTCAACCATATACAAAATTTATGGAAAGACTTATGGACAATGAAATTCCTTGTCAATTAATTTTTATAATCAACGTCAATTATGCTGACTAATCATTTACAAGCAGGATTTCTACATTTTATAAATTACTACTGTCTTTTTTCATTTAGACTGGTGCTCTGCAGGTTGTCAGACATCAGCTGTGCTTCTATGGCCTCAGCTCTGAAGTCCAACCCCTCACATCTGAGAGAGCTGGACCTGAGTAAAAACAGCCTGCAGGATTCAGGAGTGAGGCTGCTGTCTGCTGGACTGGAGAGTCCACACTGGAGACTGGAGACTCTCAGGTCAGCTGGCAGAATGTCATTCACTTGCAGATTTAAAATGAGTAAAGGTATATTACATATTTTATTACTTGTGTATAGGTGGCAGCTCAAAATATGGTGCGCGATGAAGATTGTATGTACAGTGTGAGTAACTGAGTGTTTATCCCATATTACAGACTTAGTTTCTGTGAACTGACACGGATTAGCTGTGCTTCTCTGGCATCGGCTCTGAAGTCCAACCCCTCCCATCTGAGAGAACTGGACCTGAGTGACAACACGCTACAGGATTCAGGAGTAAAGCAGCTGTCTGCTGGACTGGAGAGTCCACACTGTAGACTGGCAACACTGAGGTAGATTGTTTTTTTTTCCCCCTCAAGCTTTACTCTGGGTGCAGTCTTAAAAAAATGTCAACATAAATTTCTCTAGGTTGAAAAGCTGTCGGATCACAGATGAAGGATGTACTAATTTGGCATCAGCATTGAAGTCCAACCCATCCCATCTGAGAGAGCTGGACCTGAGTAAAAACAGCCTGCAGGATTCAGGAGTGAAGCTGCTGTTTGCAGAACTGGAAAGTCCATACTGCAAATTGACACTTTGAAGTAAGTGTCCTCAGGTGGCTCAAGCCCAGATGTGTAGAGAGGAGTAACAAATATACATGAAAACTGGGTCTAAAGAAACAGGAGACAGCTTATGTGCAAAAAATTAAAGATATTTATTAACAATTAAACAATACTCATACGACCATAAGAGTAGAATATATAGGTTTTAAATAAAAACACAGAAAACACTTTTAACACCCTCCCTCCTCCAAGGGAGTATTTAGGAGAAGATGAATGCAGATGAATTAAGAGATTAAAGTGATGTGTGGTAATTGCAGAAATGCAAACTTAATTATTACAGCATCACCTTGAGGTCAGAGAGTGTCGTTATATATGCCTACCTAGAGTGAAATTCGCAACCCACCTGCCCATTGTTGTTTCCAAGGTTTAAGGGTTTTGCTGCACAAACACTTTTTAGCAGAGAAAAGTAATAGGAAATGTTCATGGGATCCAGGTAGAACAGAAAAACTGACTCAGTGAGTAATTGAAAACACACCACATGGATAAAATCACCATTCTTGGCAATTGGGACTTGGTGAAATGGGGATTTGAACTCTGATCCTTCCCAAGAGTAGGTGACTGAACCACTGGTGACAGTTGGCTTTTATTCACCTTCTCACAAATTGAGGCAATAAAATCACATGTCTTAGAATGATAATTTTGTGGGTGTTGTAAACTCAGCTCTGAAAAAATAGTCTGCAATACGAGGGCAATTTAATGTAGTGTAATAAAGATTCGACATTTCAAACTCAATTTTCAGTTTTAAAAAGAGAGAGTTTTAAAGAGTTTTAAAACTTTTTTTCACACTTGCGCACACCACTTTTCAGATTACCATTTACAATGTTTCAAACCTGGAAAACAAACTAATACACCATATAATTCGAACTTTTGTTCGTTTGCATGCCTGGGCACCCACCTCACTCAGGCTTGGACCCCTAAGAGACTAAGTGCAGGAAGTTTGTATGCTAGCCTGCCGGGTTAGTTTCATTATCTTGCTGAGCTTCTTTCTATGTATTTCATCTCAGGATAGTTTATCATTTCTATCAGTAAAGTGTTAAACAGTTTATTGAAAAGCTTTATTAGCACCATCGACTCTGAACTCTGTGTAAACACGGAGTAGTTTATACTCTGATAGAGGAGCTTTAATAAAATAGGATGGTTTGAAATGAATTGATTTTGTTTATTGTTTTGTTAATTGCATGTGTGAACAGGCCTTAAGTAAAAGCATATGTCTGCTGTGTGTTGTCTTGTCTCTGTCAGATAGCAGTTATCTCCGGATGGTATCAGAGGGCTGAGGTGTGTTCAGGAGCTGCAGATGAACTCAACACTTTCTGAGATTCTGAATTTTGAACTGGAATAACACCCCAACAGGACAGGTCCAGTTTCTTTCCACAAGAAAAAGTTTCTGCTTAATTAACTTAAACTTATTTTTTAGACATTTCTAAGATAAAATAAGCTTTTTGAAAGCAAACATTTTCAGATCTGGGAAGTTAAAAGAGGTCATATTTTGCTTTTTGGCTTTTCCCCTCTCCTTTATTGTTATATACCCTTTTTGTGCATGTAACAGGTTTGCAAAGTGAAAAAGCCCAAAGTCCAGAAAACTCTGCTCTGAACTGCCTGAAAACAGCTCGTTTGTAATCCAGCAGCTTCCCTTTCATCCCGGCGACTCCCTTCCAAACACTAGCTACCCTCCAGGCTTTTGTTTACAGATTAAAAACTCACCACTCTGAAACTCTCGCTCCAGTCCATGTTGCCAAGCTGGTCGGCAACATGTACAGTTGAACCCGAGCTGTTTACCGGCTTCTCGCTGACCCGCCCTTCTCTGATTCTGATTGGCTAGTAGTCCTTACATTTACATTTACTCATTTGGCAGATGCTTTTATCCAAAATGACTTACATTTGAGGAACAACATACAATCATCAACAGAGCGTCAAATACAGATCTACAACTGACAATACATACTAGTAAGAGCAGCAATAAATACTACTAAGAGCTCACAGTACATATCACATTAATGGGGTAGATACCGAGGGAAGGAAGTAAGAGTTAGCAAAAACAGTGCAATAATAATTGTAAGGGGATAGAAGAAGAAGAGCACAGGAAGTGCATGTTGGTTCTCCGTGAGAGAGGGACGCCGCTGCTCTGATGGCGTAGTAGCTCGTTCCACCATCGTGGGGTCACAGATGAGAACAGCTGTGACTAATAGTCCTTAACTAGGAACTGAGCATGTGCAACTCCCAACAAAGATCATTTAACCCCTGAATAAGATTTTTAACCTGAAAATGAGCAGAATATGACCTCTTTGAAAGTCTGTAGCTAATATATTAATATTTATTGTTTATAGTCATTTCGCTCTGCAGTGAGTAAACTGGACAGGTTTCCTCTGACAGAATAAAACTGCTGAGCCTAAAGGAAATAAAACAAAAACACAACACATTACAGAGAAAAATCAAGATGTTTTATTCATGTTTTTAAGCAACAGATACAGAACATTTATGATGCTGAGGGAGGACGGGTCTCTGCTCAGGACTTTAAGTCGTGTCAAAGTCTAAAGTTTGTTTCAGCTAAAATAAAACAAGCTAAATATTATTTCTTGCTGTGAGAGAAATCCTCTATAAATTAGCTTAAATAAAACTCCTCCTCTCTGACTCGGTTTCATTCTGCTGCCACCTGCTGTTTACATTAAAATACTACATTACCCAGAATCCCCACAGACAACATTTTATAAGCCAAAGGTTCAGGAGGCGATCAGGTTCAGTCTTACAGGGATATTAAATGTGACTTATTGAAATAGAGTCGCGCCCTACAGTCTCACTGTGAATCTCACGTGAACACAACTAGAAACTACAAATACTTTAACAATAAAATCTATCTTTGTACAGATTCTTCAGAAAGTTTACACCAAAATAACAAAACATCTCTATAAAACGTACACATCTTTCCATACGCAGAGACTAAGATTATATATCAGAATCAATATAATACAGGTCCAGCAGATAAACAGGGTCTCAGTGAAACTATTTTATAATGATTTATTGATCTAAAACTCTCAACCAATCAGGAGCTGAGGCTCAAATGAAAGGCACCATGACGACGTGATGGTAAAATGTTAATTATATGTAAAGTTTACATGATGACGGTTTTAAATGGCTCTTCATTAAATAAAATATTTATCTGTACATCTCTGTGTAATTCTTTTAGTCCTGTTTCTTTAGTTTAAAAAACAAAAAACAAGTCGTTTTTTGCTTTTTTCTGTTTTAAACCCAAAAGGAAAAACAAAGCTGCAGCGTTTTGTTCTGTCTGTGACGGCTGTTGGATCCCTACTGGTTTTCAAACTAACTGGCTGCTGTTAGCAACAGCTGTGGTCTGAGTCGGGCTTCATCCCTCTGCAGCCGCACCAGGTCGCTCCTGCGACCTCGATGTCACGCTGCCGCCTCCTCCTCCTCCTCCTCCTCCTCCTCCTCCTCCTCCTCCTCCTCCTCCTCCTCCTCTCCTTTGCCTGTCTCTTCTGGCTCCCCCTGCTGGCAGGTCTCAGCAGTCTCCGTGTCCTCACAGCTAGTCTCTGTTTCTTTACTCATCTCCTGGTCCTGGTCCGGTTCAGGTTTGCTTTCGGTCTCTGCACATAACTCCAGTCCCTGGTCCTGGTCCTGGTCTGGTTCAGGTTTGCTTTCTGTCTCTGCACATAACTCCAGTCCCTGGTCCTGGTCCTGGTCTGGTTCAGGTTTGCTTTCTGTCTCTGCACATAACTCCAGTCTCTGGTCCTGGTCCTGAGTTTCTGCACAGGACTCCAGTCCCTGGTCCTGGTCTGGTTCAGGTTTGCTTTCTGTCTCTGCACATAACTCCAGTCCCTGGTCCTGGTCCTGGTCTGGTTCAGGTTTGCTTTCTGTCTCTGCACATAACTCCAGTCCCTGGTCCTGGTCCCGGTCTGGTTCAGGTTTGCTTTCTGTCTCTGCACATAACTCCAGTCCCTGGTCCTGGTCCTGGTCTGGATCAGGTTTGCTTTCTGTCTCTGCACATAACTCCAGTCCCTGGTCCTGGTCCTGGTCTGGTTCAGGTTTGCTTTCTGTCTCTGCACAGGACTCCAGTCCCTGGTCCTGGTCTTGAGTCTCTGCACAGGACTCCAGTCCCTGGTCCTGATCATGGCTCGGTTCAGGTTTGCTTTCTGTCTCAGTACTAGGCTCCAGTCCCTGGTTCTTGTCCTGATCTAGTTCAGGATTACATGCTGTCTCTGGTTCTGTTGAGTCCACAGCTGCTGGCTGATGGGGGAGAGACTCCTTCCTCCTCAGACCTGCAGACAGACAGATACACAACGTGAACAGGGGCACATTCAGACCAGGAGAGTCCGCTAGTCGGCCTGCTTTGTTCCGGAACAAATAAAATGTTGATTTCTTTAGTTTGTCCTTTTAGCAAGTGAACCAGAATTTGTAAAGAAAACCACACGTGTCCTCTGAGAGTCCTGATCCTGTTGGTGCGAATAACCGCAGAGTGGCGGGACTTGAATACATAAGG